TTTCTCTCTTGCCTCTATCTTTGCATTTTCTAAGTTAGCTCCATCCTTAATTCTAGTCATGTCTTGTCATAGGGTTACTCTCCATGCCTCCTAATATATACTCTACAAAAGTACAGCAGTTAAATTTCTTATTTTACTTTTCTTCAGTTTTCTACCCTATTTCCTCATTCCTTTAAGTCTTTTACTTAAATTCCATTCTAAACCCTTTCTCTTTGACTCTTCTTTCTTCTAATATTCTATTTTCATTTTCTCCTTCAAACCTGAAAGTTCATCAGTTCTTTAACACATTGTCTTCCTTTCAAAATGACACCTGCCCTGGAATATATCCTTATGAGAAATGTCTTTAAATTCATTGGTTTCTTCCTTATGTTTCATCTGCATTTGTGTCAGTCAAAAAGACCAAATCTTTCTTGAAATTAAATTATTCCATAAAATTTTATATAAACAAAATGTAGACTTCTAGCTGAAAGTTGACCTGCTACCACTTGTCAATGGCTGGCAACGTGATAAAAATTGAAAGAAATGCTCGAAATTCTCTACCTTTCCCTCCCACCTCATGTCTCCTGTTTAATGTTAATCTTTTCTTCCTGCTCTTCCTCCCTGCTCTGTTCTTAGTTGCTCTTAGTTGTTCTTAGTTGCTGAGGCAAGAAGATTGAAAGTTGGAGCTAACCTGGGCAACTTAGTCAGACTTTGTCTCAAAATACAAAGGCCTGGGTATGTGACTCAATGATACAGCGTCCCTGGCTTCAATCCCCAGTATACACCCACCCGCCCCACACCCACACCCACGGACACACACCCATGGGGCCTGGCGGAGGGGGTGGAGAAGGAGGGAGGGAAAAGAAAAATGCTGTGTATTTCATGTATACCTTCTTGAATCAGATAGATTAATAGCTTGATATTCGAAAAGGTAAAATTTACATTAAACAAATATTTTTTTATATTGGTTGTTCAAAACATTACAAAGCTCTTGACATATCATATTTCATACATTAGATTCAAGTGGGTTATGAACTCCCATTTTTACCCCAAATACAGATTGCAGAATCACATCGGTTACACATCCACATTTTTATATAATGCCATATTAGTAACTGTTGTATTCTACTACCTTTGCTATCCTCTACTATCCCCCCTCCCATCTCCTCCCATCTTCTCTCTCTACCCCATCACTGTAATTCATTTCTCTCCTTGTTTTTTTTCCCATTCCCCTCATAACCTCTTATATGTAATTTTGTATAACAATGAGGGTCTCCTTCCATTTCCATGTGATTTCCCTTTTCTCTACCTTTCCCTCCCACCTCATGTCTCCTGTTTAATGTTAATCTTTTCTTCCTGCTCTTCCTCCCTGCTCTGTTCTTAGTTGCTCTCATTATATCAAAGAAGACATTTGGCATTTGTTTTTTAGGGATTGGCTAGCTTCACTTAGCATAATCTGCTCTAATGCCATCCATTTCCCTGCAGATTCCATGATTTTGTCATTTTTTAGTGCTGCATAATACTCCATTGTGTATAAATGCCACATTTTTTTAATCCATTCGTCTATTGAAGGGCTTATGGGTTGGTTCCACAGTCTAGCTATTGTGAATCGTGCTGCTATGAACACCGATGTGGCAGTATCCCTGTAGTACGCTCTTTTAAAGTCTTCAGGGAATAGTCCGAGAAGGGCAAGAGCTGGGTCAAATGGTGGTTCCATTCCCAGCTTTCTCAGGAATCTCCATACTGCTTTCCAAATTGGCCGCACCAATTTGCAGTCCCACCAGCAATGTACAAGTGTACCCTTTTCCCCACATCCTCGCCAGCACTTGTTGTTGTTTGACTTCATAATGGCTGCCAATCTTACTGGAGTGAGATGGTATCTTAGGGTGGTTTTGATTTGCATTTCTCTGACTGCTAGAGATGGTGAGCATTTTTTCATGTACTTGTTGATTGATTGTATGTCCTCCTCTGAGAAGTGTCTGTTCAGGTCCTTGGCCCATTGGTTTATTGGGTTATTTGTTATCTTATTGTTTAATTTTTTGAATTCTTTGTATACTCTGGATATTAGGGCTCTATCTGAAGTGTGAGGAGTAAAGATTTGTTCCCAGGATGTAGGCTCCCTATTTACCTCTCTTATTGTTTCTCTTGCTGAGACAAAACTTTTTAGTTTAAGTAAGTCCCATTTGTTGATTCTTGTTATTAACTCTTGTGCTATGGGTGTCCTATTAAGGAATTTGGAGCCCGACCCCACAATATGTAGATCGGAGCCAACTTTTTCTTCTATCAGATGCAGAGTCTCTGATTTGATATCAAGCTCCTTGATCCATTTTGAGTTAACTTTTGTGCATGGCGAGAGGAGGGGATTCAGTTTCATTTTGTTGCATATGGATTTCCAGTTTTCCCAGCACCATTTGTTGAAGATGCTATCCTTCCTCCATTGCATGCTTTTAGCCCCTTTATCAAATATAAGATAGTTGTAGTTTTGTGGATTGGTTTCTGTGTCCTCTATTCTGTACCATTGGTCCACCCGCCTGTTTTGGTACCAGTACCATGCTGTTTTTGTTACTATTGCTCTGTAATATAGTTTGAGGTCTGGTATTGCTATACCGCCTGATTCACACTTCCTGCTTAGAGTTGCTTTTGCTATTCTGGGTCTTTTATTTTTCCATATGAATTTCATGATTGCTTTATCTATTTCTACAAGAAATGCTGTTGGGATTTTGGTTGGCATTGCATTAAACCTATAGAGAACTTTTGGTAATATCTCCATTTTGATGATGTTAGTTCTGCCTATCCATGAACAGGGTATATTTTTCCATCTTCTAAGATCTTCTTCTATTTCTCTCTTAGGGTTCTGTAGTTTTCATTGTATAAGTCTTTCACCTCTTTTGTTAGGTTGATTCCCAAGTATTTTATTTTTTTTGAAGATATTGTGAATGGAGTGGTTGTCCTCATTTCCATTTCAGAGGATTTGTCGCTGATATACAGGAATGCCTTTGATTTATGCGTGTTGATTTTATATCCTGCCACTTTGCTGAATTCATTTATTAGCTCTAATAGTTTCTTTGTAGACCCTTTTGGGTCTGCTAGGTATAGAATCATGTCACCTGCAAATAGTGATAATTTAAGTTCTTCTTTTCCTATTTTTATGCCTTTAATTTCTTTCGTCTGTCTAATTGCTCTGGCCAGTGTTTTGAGAACTATGTTGAACAGAAGTGGTGAGAGAGGGCATCCCTGTCTTGTTCCAGATTTTAGAGGGAATGCCTTCAATTTTTCTCCATTCAGAATGATGCTAGCCTGAGGCTTAGCATAGATAGCTTTTACAATGTTGAGGTAAGTTCCTGATATCCCTAGTTTTTCTAATGTTTTGAACATAAAGGGATGCTGTACTTTGTCGAATGCTTTTTCCGCATCTATCGAGATGATCATATGGTTCTTATCTTTAAGTCTATTGATGTGATGAATAACATTTATTGATTTCCTTATATTGAACCAGCCTTGCATCCCAGGGATGAATCCTACTTGATCATGGTGCACAATTTTTTTGATGTGTTTTTTTTATCCGATTCGCCAGAATTTTATTGAGGATTTTTGAATCTAGGTTCATTAGAGATATTGGTCTGTAGTTTTCTTTCTTTGAGGTGTCTTTGTCTTGTTTCGGAATCAGGGTGATGTTGGCCTCATAGAATGAATTTGGAAGAGCTCCCTCTTTTCCTATTTCCTGAAATAACTTGAAAAGTATTGGTATTAATTCTTCTTTAAAGGTTTTGTAAAACTCTGCTGTGTACCCATCCAGTCCTGGGCTTTTCTTGGTTGGTAGTCTTTTGATTGCTTCTTCTATTTCATCCATTGATATTGGTCTCTTCAAATTGTGTGTATCCTCCTGACTCAGTCTGGGCAAATCATATGACTTAAGAAATTTATCGATGTCTTCACTATCTTCTATTTTATTGGAATATAGGTTTTCAAAATAATTCCTAATTATCTTCTGTATTTCTGTAGTATCTGTTGTGATGTTGCCTTTTTCATCCCCTATGTTAGTAATTTGAGTTCTCTCTCTTCTTCTCTTCATTAGCATGGCTAAGGGTCTGTGGATCTTATTTATTTTTTCGAAGAACCAACTTTTAGTTTTGTCAATTTTTTCAATAGTTTCTTTTGTTTCCATTTTGTTGATTTCCGCTCTGATTTTAATTATTTCTTGCCTTCTGCTACATTTGCTGTTGTTTTGCTCTTCCTTTTCTATGTGTATTTTACTATGCAGTCTAATGGAAAATTGTTAAACCAGTTGTGTATCTCTGGTTCTAAAGTTAAAGCAGAGTTGAAAATTTGAATGTAGAAGATAGTGACTGCACCGTGACTACAATAATCAATGTCAGAACATCCTTAAATCTTTTCTTCTGTAACAAGGGCAGAGTCAGCTAAAATGTTTGATTAAATCATGCATGGCATAACAAAAACCTTTCAACTTTATCGGTCTTTGTCTATGAATATACCTGACTCATCACCACAGTGCTTTTCCACCCAGCCCCACTCACTCAGCTGCTATTCCTGCCTCACACAAATAGTTAAGACTAGTCACAGTTTCTGGTAATGGTTGTAGAGTTTTATACTTCATGTTATTTTTTAGCACAAGAAGTTCATAACTTTTGAATATGTGAGATCTACAAAATAAAAATGGAGGGCATTCTCTCTGTATACTCTGAAACTCTTTGTGGACTGTGATTGTTTCATATTTGTGTCATGAGCATTCATTTCTAAGAAGCAATCACATCACTTTTGTAAAATGTTTTTTTAAATGACAACAAAAAGGAACAAAAAATAGTCCTTCACAATCTTAATTTGAAGCTAAGGAAATTTTTTGTTGGTAACACTGCTACATTCTAGCTTTTTTGTATATGTGTTATAAAAGTAAAAGCATCTTGTTATTCACAAATAGCTATTTTTTAACCCATGTTATTTTTCTCCATTATTCCCTATGCAAATAAAGATGGTATTATTATCTATTATGAAAATTATTTCACAGAACACTAGATGATTCTCTTTTAGTAACTTCATTGATTTGATTAGCTTTTTTCCATGCTTTAATAACTTTAATGTTTTTATTGTATTATTAGTTTTTCTTTACTATGTAACTTATCTTTTATGTCTTATTTTGCTTATATATTTAGCACTTGAAGATCCACATGAAAGATTGACAGTTCAATCACTTCAGTGTTGTTTTGAGGTAGTTTTCAGTGAACTAACTTGCAATGTGTGATGTTAACTCTCTCAATACAAGGTGGGAGGCTGTTTCCTTACAATACTCAGCTACCAGAGTTTTCCTGGATCCCTGACTTACTTTCTAAGATCCAGAGAAGGACTTCCCAGTGACTAATCTCTGTCTCCTGTTTTTGTCTTTTGTCTTATTCCTTAAATAACATGGTTCCTGCTGTTCTGTACTTGCCCTTCTGATTGACTCTGCCTTTACATCACAATGCCTGCTCAGTTTGAACTTACTATGACACTTGAGAAAGAGGACAGATAAAGATCAGCACCCTTTAGTCTGCCTTGTTTTTTCTCTCTGGCTTGGATTCAATTCTTAGATCTTCTGTTCAGCTCTGTTGATTTAACTGTATTCAAGAAGTTTTGTTTCATTTCTTTTTTCCTTTGCAGCCTCTACTAGGAGTCTTCTCACATACTCGTGAACAAAACCTGTTCTTTTCTATCTGGAGCATGAACAATTTTAGGAGAGATGTATTTGGAAAAAACAAGAAAAAGATGACCTTTCTAGCCAGAGCAACAACTGACCAAAAGGATGACATTATGTTAACGACAGATCACCTTCACATCCAGATGTTTTCATAGATTTAACATACTCAGAGCACTGTGGACAGCTCATACATTAGCACATTACTTGGCACATAAGTACAAAATAAATGGTATCTATAATATCCATTTGGGCTTTCTTTATATCCTAGCTGGAAAGCTAAGACAGGAAATTCTAGCTAACTGTTTAATAAAGCCAATATATCTGAGCAGAAAAGTCAGTAAGTTCAGAGAGGACTGAGATCACTACGGTACAGAGTAGACAGACAAGACTTCTCCAATAATTGAGCCAAGCCAAGCGTTGCAAGGATTTTTACTACTAACTCTGCCTCCACTGTTTCCTGTTTCTTACCATAAGTGGGTCCTTTCAGTTGGTTTTGCCTACTAAAAATAAGCAATATTTTAAAGAGCTCAATAACACAAATCCTGACACTTTGTGCCTTTCTACTTAAAACAATTCATAAAGAAAACCACTCTTAATTCCAAAGATCCTATTAATAGATATCTCTCTTCTTTGGGTGAATATAGCTGTCCTGTTCTTGTGACAGAATCTCTTGTCTTCCATTTAACTTATAAATACATGGGAGCCTGGGACCATGTGTTTCTTATTCTTAATCTGTAATTCCCTGTGGATAAGACTGGCCTGATTCTTACATTATAATCTAATCACTTTCTAAGAAGTCCCCATATTTGTTGAAGGTGATGGATTAGCCTTTCATTCGCCCCAGCCCAAACAGTGCTTGTTGTCTTAAGCATTCCCATCAGCTGCTTTCCTCTGACTTCAATTTCTGTTCCAACCAAATATGCTCCTGCTTGTTTTCCCTAATCACCCTACTGTGAGAGCATATTAAATAATACTTTTAAGAAGATGCAAGACTTATCTTAAGAATATAAACTTTTCTTAGTGGTTTCTATGCATTAACCAGGAGATGCAAACATCGGCCAATCAGATCTAACCAAGTACAGAGAAAGTCTTCACTAAGAGCACCCAAGTTAATTTCAAACCCCATCAAATTAATATAGCTTTACTTTTCAGTTTTGTCAATGTTTTGAGTCATTATGTTTTAACACATTAATATAACAAGCCTTAGTTCAAATTCATGTAGATTTACTTTTTTCCAATTCACTGAAAACATTTTTATTCAACTCTTGTTTCTAAACAACTAATGTATTTTTTCTTTGTGGTTCTCTTGTGCAGATGGGCTGTTTTTAATGTTATTAATATGTAATTGCTCTCTTTCATATGTCTTCATGATCTACTTTTCATTCTGTTTGGCAGACACTGGTTGTTTTGTGATTTTGAGAAAAAAAATCGCTTGTAGGTATAACATAGAAAGAGTAAATACCAGCAAAATTATTTTAAACGGAATTCTGTGTATTCCAAACTGTTTTTCATAGACTATTATCTTAAAACCTAATTCAAGGTGAACATGGAATTCTTTTCACCATTAATGCTGCAAAGATTCATTTTTAAATCTTAAATGACTATTTCTTGGTTTCCCATTATATGCCAGATATGGTTCCAGGTGCTGAGGATCTAATGGTGAACAGACAGACAAGGATTCTGCCTTTAACCAGCATACATTCTAGCAGAGGTTGTAAGTACAAATAATACCACAAATGAATCAGATACATAGTCTGTGGAGATGGCAGTTGATTCCCTGATTCTTCTTCTCCCACTGCCATTGTTTCAAGACCTATCTACAACTATTGAGTTTGATTTAATGTTAGTCTACTACCCTCTTCTAGGAAGAAGTACATAAAGGCCTTATTCTGATATGAGAGAGAAAAGATGGAGAGGCACCTGGGAAGGTCAAGGTTCTCATTTTAGACTAGAAATAAATGGACATTATTTTAAGAATTATAAAGTATTATCATACTTTAAGCAAACATTGAGCACTATATCAGTTATGTTCCAGGCTTTATAACCCCTACATACCCTAGTTAGAGAGATAGAGACATAAAATAAATAACTACTGATATTTACTGATAGTAACATTATTACTGGTAATATTACAATAAAAAATGTATTAAGTACAATGGGAGTACCACAAAGGCAGTAACAAACTCTTGTCTGCCTGAGGTAAGGCTCACCATCAGATGACACCTAAACTGAGTCTTAAGGGTGATGGGAAGCACAGCATACTTCATTTTTTCCACAAATACTTACAGAGCACTTTTTAATGTGCCTGATACTATGGTAAACACTGTAGACACAGCAGTGAACCAGATAGAGTCCCTCTTGGCAGTACAGAAACACAATAAATGAATAGACATAAATATATATATATATAAGTCTTTTCAGAAAAGGAACAGAGAGTAGCAGGGATGCAAATTTTTTAAATTCAGGGACATCATCTCTAATTAGATAATATTTGAGTAGAATGCTGAATGATATGAAAGAATAAGACCAAGAAGTAGGGGAAACTATTTCAGACAGAAGGAACAGCGTGAACAAAGGACATAATGAGCATAAAAGGGTAGCATTTATATGCAATATGAGATAATCTTTGCTGAAATGTGGAGTATCAAGGGACCAAAGGGTGTAGAGCCACATGTATCATGTTCAAGAATGTAAATGCCCACTTTGTCAACTGGGAAAAGAGGGACTAGATTTTGAAGATAGTTTAAGAAGAAAATAACACATACTTTTGCTTGATATGGATAGGTTTTGATAGGTATGATTTGGTATTTGGAAAATTATCCCTAGCAATAGTATGCAGGATGAATCTAAATAAGAAGCACAAGAAGCCAGTTATAAGATTATTGTGATTTTACAGATGAGAAATTATGTGGCTTGAATTAAGTTAGTAAATGAGGCTCACGTGGAGATGGTAGAGTTTAATTGCTTTAGGAGAACTAGTTTATAAGATTTGGTGTTCAGTGGAATATGGGAAAGGTCAAGAACAACTCCAGGGCTTAAGTGTGGGTGGCTGAGTGGGTGGTAATGCCATTAACCAGCTCATAAGTCCCTGGAAGTTGGGTGGCAGATTTAGAAGCTCAGAAAAATGAATCTTATTTGGGGCAGTGGAAATACAGGACTGGATATTAGAAGAGTATCAGGTATGGAATACATATTTGGCTGTTACTGGCATCTCATATAAATTTTAAAAGGAGAAGCAACAAAAAGAAGTATCTGTCAGAAACTACAGAGAAAATGAGTAGGATGAGAATTTTTTAAATGCCATTGGATTTGACAGTTGGAAGTGTATCAGTGACTTCAAGAAGATCTGGTTCAGTGGATGTGCATGGAGACAAGGCCATATCATGATTGGGTTAAAGAATGAAGGAGTAAGAGGCTGAGATCATCCCACCAAAGTCACTGTCCTTTTCTTCCTTGAAAGTGTTAAACCTTAGGTCAGATATTTTCTTTCTCCTCCCTCCTTAGATTTCTTAGGACTGGATGCTGTAGTTAGGGCATAATGGAGGTACAAATTAAGATCCTTTGGTCTTTAGTGGGAGAGTGGTCACAGATAGAGGAACCTGAAGTTGTTAAGTTAGATACTGCAGGGAATATCCTTATGGGGGAACAGCAAGTACAGTCCAGAGACCTGTATCCAGAAGAAGAAAAAAACACAGGTAGGTCTCTGTTTTATGAGGACTTGCAGGGCTAGTGGGAGAAACATGGAATTAGTTAAGAAACTCCACCCTAATGAGAGAGTGGAATCTGGTCGAGTATGGGGGTGGGGTAGAATCTGAGGCAGTAAACTGATGTTATCTAGAAATTCAAGTACATGTGTCTAGATTTTGTAGGGCACTGGGACTGAGGATGTTCAAAGAAGGGACTGTTGGCAGTACTTTTGGCAATAAAGATAGTAGAGACGGAATAGTTAATGGATCACAAGGTCGCCCTTAGACCTGTCATGTGGATGTTTAATTAATATTTGTGAAGCCAAAGGGCAGTTCAGAGGATGTGGGAGGAAGGGATTAGATATCAGAGTTTCTGAAGAGCTATAAGTAAATACCTGAGTTGCATTCAGGGATAGATGGAGGCTCCGACTAAAGATCCCCAAACCACTTGGAGGGCCAGAACTCTAGGTTGTACCTTGGTAGGAGTTGAGAATAATGCTCAGATAGAGGGACTCACTCCCTTAACCTCAAAGACCTGAGGAGTTACCATTGAATGGATTTGCGAGATATCCCACTTCTGCACTCAAAAAAAACACACCCTTAGCCCTCTTGCTTGCCACTCTGTCTCCTGCCCCCCCCGGGGGGCGGGGCTCGAGGGCAAGGCTGGTAGCTGTTTCAGTCCTCGAGAGCCATCAGTTCCTACCAGACTCTTGCTGGGGGAGCCGGCCTACCCCATGGCAGGACACAGGACCTCAAACTTGAACCCCCTTCAATCCAGTGGCGGGGGTGGCTCCGGAGGGCCAGTGTCCATGAGGGTTGACACTCCAACCTTATTGAGTGCCCAGGTGGCTCCTGGCAGGATGATGGTCCAGCCAGGAGTTGGGCCAGGCATTTTCCCAGGCCCTGACATGTGGGGGGTGCCCCTGGGTCCCCTGCCTTATGAATTCCGGGGCAGGATGACCTCCTGTGGAGCTGGCGAAATAGGAGTCTGGTGCCAGAGGCCCCCCGAGGGCACTTGTTCTGGACCTTACATTGCTCTGCGGAGCCTCCCGAAATTGGCACTGCCCGAAGATGTCTTAGCTATTAAAAAGGAGATGGAGCAGCTGGCTAAAGAGCTGAAGCTGAAGAGGATGACCCTAGGGTATTCGCAGGCGGATGTGGGGTTCGCCGTGGGAGCTATGTTTGGAAAGGTGCTTAGCCAGACAACCATATGCCGCTTCGAGGCCCAGCAGCTCAGCCTCGCCAACATGTGGAAGCTGCAGCCGCTGCTGAAAATGTGGCTAGAGGAAGTGGATGCCAAGAACCTTCTGGGCTTATGCAAAATGGAGATGATTCTGCAGCAAGCTCGGAAACGGAGACGGGCAAGCAGGGAGAGACGAATCAGAAACAACCTGGAGAAACTCTTCCTGCAGTGCCCAAAGCCTACACCCCAGCAAATCAGCCGCATCGCTGGGCACCTCCGACTGCAGAAGGACTTGGTCCAAATTTGGTTCTATAACCGGAACCAGATGGGCAGTCGGCCAATCAACGACGCCTTCCCACTGGAGAATGTGGGAATGGCCAGGCCTCCTTTCCCACCAGCGTGCTTTCCCCTGGCACCAGGGCTCCATTTTGATTTCCCCCACTATGGGGGGTCCTACCTTACACCCATGTACTCCTCTACCCGTTTTCCTGGGGGAGGAGCCCTGCTCTGTGCCCCGGCCACCACTCTGGGCCTCCCCAGGCTTTCAAGCTGAGGGGCCTGTCCCATTGGGGAAGATAAGAGAGGGAGGGAAAGGGAAAGCTGGGGAAGTCCCTGGGATTCATTTCAGGGCCGTTAGCCTTTTGTTAAGAATATGTACCAGGAAATGAGGGTGGGAATTGTTTAGGAAAAAATTGGGAGGGAAGTTGAAGTTTACAACTGCTTTGTTTTTCCCTAATATTGATTTGAAGACATATTACAATATATAGTTAGTTTCTATATTTTGTTTCTTTTTTTTTTCTTTAATTCATCGAAGATTGTGTCTGTTTCTTGTGGTTATCAGGAAGCAGTGGATTTGATTTTTTTTTTCTCATAAACACAATACTGAGTCAAATCAAGTCAGGAAGACTACTTCAATATACCATTTTTTTAAATTAAAAACCATCAGCACTTTGCATAAACATAAAATCCAGGATAATAGTATCCCCTGCAGAAAGGCTTGAGAATAGCATAGGAAAGGTGTACACACAACCCACCCAGAGCCCTTGCTGAAACACATGAGTTTACTTGGAAGCTATCTTTTTTTCTAATTCACGTTTTTATTTGCAGTGCCCCAGCTTTGTGTGGAGGGTCTCAGTTGAACTGTCCACTTTATGCCGTCCCATGAGTTTATCTCCTGTCCTGACGCTGAAGTCACTCTATTCTAAACCCCTTTATTACTGAGATTGACAGGCTGAACAACTGTAGCTTCAGCCCCACCTCCAGCATACTTCTCTGGGTTTCAGCTCCATTTGGTTTGTCCCCTGAAAATTTTCTGTACTTTCTTCTAAATTCAGAAATACTTGTGAGAGTATGTTTGTGATACTTGATATAACTCCTGTTTGCTTTTGCTATTGTACATCTTAAATCTCTTCTCCAACATTTTCACTGATATTGGTTCTTTTCTACTTTTCCACATTCATTTTGGTCAGTTTTGATTATCATATACTCAGTGTAAATCATAATCCCTATTTAGGGCTGGGAATGTAATTCAGTGGTAGAGTTCATGCTTAGCATGCACAACACCCTGGGTTCAATCCCTAGCACCAAAAAGCAAAAACCAAAATCTTCTTTCAGATCTACTGCCACACGTATGCAAGTATTATCTGTCTTATAATTCTATTCCTATATATTATATCTGCGGTTATGAATTCTTTTTTACTTATTAATCTTATCAGTTTTTGCCTTTTCTTTTTCCTTAGTAAGTCTTGCAAGGAATTTGTCTAGACATATATTTATCATAATTTTTAATGCATTGTACAAATTAATGAGTTTCACTATGGCATTTCCATACATATATGTATCATGTTTTGATCATGTCCACCCTCCTTTCTCCCCTTTGTCTCCCCCTCCCCTGAATCTCCTTCCCCTTCCGTAGTAGTCTCTCTTCTACTTCTAGATTATCTTTTTTTTTCCATACATAAGAGAAAATTTGCAATATGTACCTTTCTGGGTCTTTGGTAAATATGCTGTCTTTTCTCCTGTGTATGTTTTTAGTACCTTCATTGAGAGTCGGTTGGCTGAAAATGTATAGGTTTATTTCTGGGTCCTCTATTCTATCTCACTGATCTGTTTTTATGCCAATACCATGCCTTTTTTGTTACAATGGCTGTGCTGTATAATTTGAAATCAAGTATTGGATTGCCTCCAAAATTGCTCTTTTTGCTGAAGGTTGGTTGCTTTGGCTATTCAGGGTCTTTGTGCTTCAATATGAATTTTTAAATTATTGTTTCTACATTCGGTAGAGAATGTCATTGGTACTTTCATGGGGATTGCATTGAATCTATACATCACTTTCAGTAGTGTGACAATTTTAACTTTAATCTTCCCATTCCATGAATATGGTCTTTCCACCTGCTAGCATCTTCTTTAATTACTTTCTTCAGTATTTTAAGATTTTTATGATAGAGGTCTTTCATCTTCTTGGTTAGGGTTATTTCTAGCTTTTTGTTTATTCCTAGTCTTTGTTAGGGTGTGTGTGTGTGTGTGTGTGTGTGTGTGTGTTGTAATGGTATTGTTTTCCTGATTTCTTTCTCAGTGAGTTCATTACTGGTATTTTCAAAAGCTACTAATTTTTGTATGTTGACTTTGTGTCCTGCTACTTTGCTGAATTTATCTGTTCTAAGTCTTTTGGTGAAGTCTTTAGGGTTTTCTAAATATAGAATCACTCTGTCAGAAAAAAAAGAAAAAAAAGTATTTGACTTCACATTTCCTGTTTGCATAACTATGATTTCTTTCATTTATTTAATTTTTAATTGCTCTGTCTAAAATTTCAATTACTATATTGAGTAAGAGTGGTAAGAGTGGACACTCTTGTGGTGGTCCTGATTTTAGAGAAAATGTTTTCAGTTTTATCTCATTCAGTATAATGTTGGCTATGGGATACTCATTATTGTACTGGAGCCTATCTCTCCCTTCACATCCTATGGTGTTTGTTTTATAAAATTGGGTGCTCCATGTTCAGTACATGAATATTTACAATCATTATATATCTTCTTAAAGAATTGTTCCCTTTATCAGTACATATCATCCTTCTATACCTAATTTATTCAGGGATTTTATCATGAAGGGATATTAGATTTTATCAAAGGCTTTTTCTGCATCTGTTGAGATGATTTTGTGATTTGTATCTTTGATTCTATTTGTGTGCTATATTATATTTATTGATTTGTGAATGTTGAATCAATTTTGCATTCCTGGAATTAAACCACTTGATCATTAGTGTGTACTCATTTTAGTATGCTCTTGAATTCAATTTTCAAGTGTTTATTGGGGATTTTTTTTATCCATGTTCACCAAGGATATTGACCTATAGGTTTTTTTTTTTTTTTTTTTTGGTTTTGTTTTGTTTTGTTGTTGTTGTTGTGTCCTTATCAATTTTGGACAGCAGGATAATAATGTCTTCACAAATTGAGTTTGGAAGTGTTCCATCCCTTTCTGTGTTATGGAATAGTTTGAAGTGCATTTGAAAGTCCAGTAAAATTCAGCAGTGAATCTGTCCAGTTCTTTGCTGGGAGACTTTGTATTACTGCTTCAGTGTCATTCATAGTTATTGATCTGCTTAGTTTATATCCTCTTGGTTCAGTTTTGATGGGTCATATATGTCCAGAAACTTGTCCATTTCTTTTAGATCTTATAGTTTATGGGCATATAGTTTTTTAAATTATTCCCTAATAGTCCTATTGATTTTGATGGTATCTATTGTAATATACTCTTTTTCATCTCTAGTGGTACTTTTTGAGTTTTCTTTCTCTTTAGCTAAGGATTTGTCAATTTTATCTTTTAAAAGAAGGAACTCTTTGTTTTAATGATACTTTGTATCATCCTTTTAGTGTCTATTTCATTTATGTCTGTCCTGATCTTTGTTATTTCTTTCCTTCTATTTATTTTGAATTTAGTTTGTCCTTGGTTTTCTAAGACTTTGAAATGCATCATTAAGTCATTTATTTGAGCTCTCTCACTCTCTCTCCCTCTCTCATAAGTATAAACTGTCCCCTTAGTTCTACATTTGCTGTCACACAAGCTTTGTGTTTTGTGTTTCCATTTTCATTTCATTCTAGGAAATTTTTAGTCTCCCCACCCTGATTTCTTCAAAAACCCGCTATTTGTTTAGAAGTGTATTGTTCAATCTCCATGCATTGGTATGATTTTTATAGTTTCTCTTGCTGTTGATCTCATTTCACTATGATGTGATAAGATGCAAAAAATTATTTCAACATTTTTAAATTTGCTAAGACTGCTTTATGGCCTAATATATGATCTATTTTGGAAAAAGTTCCATGTGCTTATGTAAAAAGTGTGTTCTGCCACTCTTGAATGGGATGTTCAGTAGGTATCTATAAAGTTCATTTGATCCTAGTGTAATTTATCTCTGTTGTTTCTTTGTTGATTTCTTTCACCTGGATAATCTATCTGTTGGTAAGCGTTGAGTAATGAAGTTACTCATTATTATATTGGGGCCTATCTCTCCCTTCACATCTTATGGTGTTTGTTTTATAAAATTGGATACTCCATGTTCAGTACATGAATATTCACAATCATTATATCCTCTTAAAGAATTGTTCCCTTTGTCAGTATATAGTGATTTTATCTTTTCTAACTGATTGGACTGAAAGTCTTTTTTATCAGACATTAGTATAGCTACTCTGCTTTCTTTCAGCTTCCATTTGCTTAGAATATCATTTTTTACTCTTAAATTTTGGGCCTTTGTCTTTTCTGGTGAGGCAAATTTTTTGCAGGCAGCATATTGTTGGGTCTTATTTTTAATCCACCCAGCCTGTCTACATCTTTAATTGGAGAATTAACATCATTTACATTTTATTATTGAAATGTACTTGTTTCTCTCATTTTGTTGTTTTTCTTCCTGTTGTTTTGAATATTTTGTTTGTTATTTCCTCTCCAATTTATTTTAGAGCTTGATAGTTTTCTGTATTAGTGATGTTTCTTTCCAGATTCTCATGTGCTTCTCTACACTTCTGGTAAGATTTATTTTTCCCATGCTTCATGATTGTTTGTCATTTTTCTTCTTCTGGCTAGAGAATTTTCATTAGTTTACTAGTCATGAATTCCCTTAGTTTGTTCTTATTATGTAAGGCCTTTATTTCTACTTCAATTCTGAAGAATAACTTTGATGGATAAAGTAATCTAAGTTGGCAGTTATTTTCTTTCAAACTTTGAAATGCATCATTTCGTGCTTTCCTGGCCTAATTTAGAATTTCTAACCTGCTGTTACTCTGATAGATTTGCCTTTATATGTGGCTTGGTGCTTCTTTCTTGAAGCTTTTAATATGCTTTCTTTGTTGTGTGCTTTTTGCAGTTTAACTATAATGCAAAATGAAGGCATTCTTTTCTAGTTATGTCTATTTGGGGTTCTAAATACTTCTTGTACCTGGTTGTCCATGTGGTTGCCAAGATTTGGGAAATTTTATGCTGTCATTCTACAGAATGGGTTTTATATGTCTTCAGTCTATAGGTCTCTTATCTATTTGAATTATGCATATGTCTGTTCTTTAAATAGTGTACCAGAGATCCTATATATTCTGTTTGTTCTTTCTTTTCTTTTCTTTATTACTGTCTGAATGTGATAATTTCCCAACCTTATCTTCAAGTCCTGATGTTTGTTTTTTTTTTTTTTTCATTCTACACATTCTGTCTATTGGTGAGGCTTTCAATTGAGTTTTTAAAATGACTTTTTGAGCTTTTCATTTTCTTGATTTCCATTTGGTTCTTTTTAAAAATCTCTATCTCTGCATTGAATTTCTCATCCATATCCTTCATCTTTTCCATAATCATCTGTTAATTTGTATCCTCTTGGATTTCACTGAGCTTTTAAAAAAATCATTCTTTAGAATTCTTCATCCAGTATTTTATACATTTCAGTATCTTTGGAATCAGTCAGTATAGATGTATCTATTTATTTTAGGTTGTCATATTGTCTTGTTTTTAATTTTTCTTGTGTTTCCGTATTGATATTTGTATATTTAAATGTAAGGACCTTCTTAATAAGCAACCTTTTCTTGATATCGGTTTCTTGTGTAATGATAAGTTTATTTACATTTGGACTTTATAGTATAGTTTCCCTGTGGCTTCTTTGGCTGTGGTTAGAGGGTTTTGACATGATGTATACTGTGTCAGAGCCTGGGGGACCTTCTTTCTGTATAAGAGTGGCAAGAATATGGTCCTTCTGGTAGTTCAGGCAGGCATGATGTAAACAGTAGAATATGTGAGGTGCGCCCTCTGTGGTTATTCCTCCAATCTTGTCAGCAATGTGTGGGCTGATAGGATATAGGAACAATCTATGCTGAACTCCCTCATAGATTCATTGTCCACACCATTGTGTTATTCCTCTCTACTCTTGCTATGGTAGTGAATTTCGAGGAGCATGACTTCATACCACTCCTTGCTGTACTTACTTAGAACAAAATCTATGATTAGGGCCTCTTAACTCCCTATTTTTTTTAAGTAAGTTGAATATCTATCAAGGTTCAAGTGGGGTTCTTTGTGACTATTGTAAGATTGTAAGTGTAGTTTTTCTGACTTGGGCTGGAAGTTTAGCTCAGCAGCAGCACCCCCATCCAAACTACTCAAATGGTGGCTGTGCTTGATCCCCAGGATCACATAGAAAGAAGGAAACAACTAGCAGATAATAAAATAAAGAAGATAATAAAGTATAAAGAAATGAAGCCACACCACCATTAACAACAGAAAACAAACAGGCAAAAAGTACATGGAATGAACAAAAAGGTAAAAAAGAATTAATTTAAAAAAATAGAAGTTAAAACAGAGGAGAAATAGAACTAAATGGAAAATAGGAACTTTTTAAACATTAAAAAAGCAATAAAGAGGGCTGGGGTTGTGGCTCAGCAGTAGAGCACTTGCCTAGCATGTGCGAGACCATGAGTTCTATCCTCAGCACCACATAAAAATAAATAAAATAAAGGTATTGCATCCAAAAATAAATCAATAAATAAAGAGGGAAAACAGTAAAAGATAAAAATGTAGGGGAAAGGGAAAGGAAAAAAAATTAGGTATTAAGAGAAAAAGAAAACACAGGTATATAAACATATACAAATACAAAGAACAGCAATAATAATATCTTAATAAAAGTTTTCTCTCCACCAAGGTACTTTATTATACAGGCAAGAGTGGATGATCATAATCCATACCAATCAGAATTTCTCTCCATGCCTTCTTAGGCTGTGTCCCCTTTGGAGAGAGCAAAGGGTGGGAGTTATTCACCCTCTTCTTTCCTTTGTTGTGCTTATATGGCAATCAGCAGTAGTTATGGCCAGAACCATTGGAATACTTCTCAACTCCCCTGAACACCAAAATGAGCTAAAGCAGAACTCCGAGCTCTGCAGGGAAAGATTCACTCTGCAATTATTTGAGCTGCACACTCTAGGAGTAGGGAAGACACCAACTTTGTAGTATGTCACTAAGTTAGCGTGGTGTGCACCCAGGCCTTTTTTTGCAGGGCTGACACTGGGTACTGCAGTATGCCTAGGACTCTGGCATCTTCTGTGCTACATTCTCTTCCTTGTAAGGAGATATCCTGTTTCTATTTCATAGGATTATAATAACAATGCCATTACTTTCTTCCTCAGTGCTGCCATCATCATTGCACCCACAACCAGGGGATCTAGGCCCTGTGATGGTATAATCCTCGTTCTTACAATATCCTTGTAAGATTAGGTGACCTACCACTAGGCAATGGAACCAAGTTTTAAATCACATCTCCCATACTCCACAGCATGGAACAGCCCCAGTTACACCTCAGCTTTGCAATGCTTTAAAAACAAAAATTCAGGTAAGCATGAAGTCCTTGCATTCTTCTGACTTTTTTAAAATTGCCTAATGATAAAGAACAAATTGTCACAAGTCATATTTTCAAAACACAAAATATTCATTGTTTCGGGTAGACAATGGATAGGTATAGATATTACATGAATCTATAAGATTAGATTGAGTCCTTAATCACATTGGAAATTTTATGGCCACAAGACAGGTGCAAATGAACAGTGTTTACCATAGTCTAGTGTCCCTCATGACACTGTCTAAAATAGAGCCCCACACATATGGAGAAGATTCATTTCGATACTGCAGCTTCTTTATCCTTGAGACTTATATAACTGCTCAAGGAAAACTTAATTCCTGCTCTTAATATTTCTTATTTTTGTTGTTGGGGATGAGGATAACTGAGGATTGAACCTGAGAGTTTTGGGATTTTTTTTGTTTTATCCCAAGACAGAGTCTCAATACAATGCTTAGGGCCTTGCTAAGTTTTGGGCTGATGCTGGCCCCAAATTTGCCATCCTTCTGACTCAGCCTCCCAAGTCACTGGGATTATAAGCATGCACCATAACACCTGGCTCTGCTCTTTATATTTCTGTTTAAGAAAATGTTTAAGCTAAGTGTTGTGGCATATGCCTGTGGTCCTGGCTACTTGGGAGGCTGTCATAAGAGGATCACCTGAATTTAAGAAATTCAAAAATAGCCCCAGCAACATAGCAAGGCCCTGTCTCAAAAACAAAAGCAAAATAAACAAAAAATAAATAAAGAGAATTAAAAGGAAAAAATCTGTTAGAGAAAAACCAAAATGTTTAGTAACATAAGTTCTTCTGACTCCTTAACTAAATACAATGAGATGGAGTCCACAAGTTCATGTCGGGGTAAAGCTGAATTAGTGCCTTGGTCTCTGCCCCACGATTTATAGCAGCCCAGAGAGATCATTTCCCTGCACATACATGCCACACAGATCCAGTGTGACAAATGTATACTTTTTTTTCTTGTCAGTGTCTGAAGAGAGAGTACTAAGGATACACATAAGTTAGTGTAAGCGAAATCAAACCTTAATTGCTTAGCTTTTGATTCAACAGATGATTAATCACTTACTATTGGATTATCCCACTAAAAGTCACACAGCACAAGCTGATTCCTTCCTTTTCCTATACAACCCTTTTGGAATGCTTTGCGGGGGAGATATTTCAACAGAAATCAGGTAGTATTTGATGAGGGTAAACTGATTGTCCTGTAAGCATTCAGCTTCTAAAAACTAGTAGCCACTGACCCAAGCTGCTCCTTCAATTCTTTTGCTACCTCTACAGATTTGAAGAAATTGTGATCGACTGTTAATATCAGGGAGTAACACTCATGGTCTGTAGCCCAGCCTAGTTACATCATTCACACATCTGCTCCATCTCTGCTTAGGTCAGTACTGACTGGCACATGCCATTAATCAGCCTTTACATAATTTGAAATGAGATTTTTCACCCCTGGTTTTCTTGAATTGCTATAAGAAGAAAAGACTAAGCCTTAGGAAAACTTTTATATTAAACTGATGTTGAATTTTTCAATGTTTTTTTCAAAGATTTTTTAAAGATATATACATGTAAACCACCATACTCTTGATTTTCTTCCATTTCAAGGATGCCACTGATAGCTTTAACGAGAACAATTTCAGTACAGTAGTTAGAGAGGCAGATGTCAGCAACAGTACAACGTCTTCATATGTACCAGATACCTTGATTTAAATAACAAATTCCACTGGGTGCAGTGGCACATGCCTACAATTCCAATGACTCTGGAGACTGGAGCAGGAGGATCACAAGTTCAAATCCAGTCTCAGCAATCTGGTGAGGCCTTAAACAACTTAGCAAGACCCTGTTTCTAAATAAAATATAAAAAAGGGCTGGGGAGGTGGCTCAGTAGTTAAGGACCCCTGGGGTCAATCACTGGTACAAAAAAATTAATTGATTAATTAATTCCAACCACTCCTTTCAATGGTCTTCACCATCATTCTGAAACTATTTATCAGATGTTTCCATTTTCTTATATTTCCTTTAGAAAAAGAAAGTTTTTATGTTTCTTTGTTGGTTTTTTTTTTTCTGCTGCCTTTCCTATCCTCTACTATCCCCCATCCCCTCCCATCCCATCTTCTCTCTCTACCCCATCTAATGTAATTCATTTCTCCCCCTTGTTTTTTTCCCCCCTTTCCCCTCACTTCCTCTTCCTATTTGTATAACCATGAGGGTCTCCTTCCATTTCCATGCAATTTCCCTTCTCTTTCCTTTTGCCTCCCACCTCTCACCCCTGTTTAATATTAATCTTCTTCTCATGCTCTTCCTCCCAACTCTGTTCTTAGTTACTCTCCTTATATCAAAGAAAACATTTGGCATTTCTTTATTAGGGATTGGCTAGCTTCACTTAGCATAATCTGTTCTAATGTCATCCATATCCCTGAAAATTCTATGATTTTGTCATTTTTTAATGCAGAGTAATACTCCATTGTGTATAAATGCCACATTTTTTTGATCCATTCGTCTATTGAAGGGCATCTAGGTTGGTTCCACAGTCTTGCTATTGTGAATTGTGCTGCTATGAACATCGATGTAGCAGTGTCCCTGTAGCATGCTCTTTTTAGGTCTTTAGGGAATAGACCAAGAAGGGGAATAGCTGGGTCAAATGGTGGTTCCATTCCCAGCTTTCCAAGAAATCTCCATACTGCTTTCCAAATTGGCTGCACCAATTTGCAGTCCCACCAGCAATGTACAAGTGTACCCTTTTCCCCACATCCTCGCCAGCACTTGTTGTTGTTTGACTTCATAATGGCTGCCAATCTTACTGGAGTGAGATGGTATCTTAGGGTGGTTTTGATTTGCATTTCTCTGACTGCTAGAGATGGTGAGCATTTTTTCATGTACTTGTTGATTGATTGTATGTCCTCCTCTGAGAAGTGTCTGTTCAGGTCCTTGGCCCATTGGTTGATTGGGTTATTTGTTATCTTATTGTTTAATTTTTTGAGTTCTTTGTATACTCTGGATATTAGGGCTCTATCTGAAGTGTGAGGAGTAAAGATTTGTTCCCAGGATGTAGGCTCCTTATTACCTCTCTTATTGTTTCTTTTGCTGAGAAAAAACGTTTTAGTTTGAGTAAGCCCCATTTGTTGATTCTAGTTATTAACTCTTGTGCTATGGGTGTCCTATTGAGGAATTTGGAGCCCGACCCCACAGTATGTAGATCGTAGCCAACTTTTTCTTCTATCAGATGCCGTGTCTCTGATTTGATGTCAAGCTCCTTGATCCATTTTGAGTTAACTTTTGTGCATGGCGAGAGAAAGGGATTCAGTTTCATTTTGTTGCATATGGATTTCCAGTTTTCCCAGCACCATTTGTTGAAGATGCTATCCTTCCTCCATTTCATGCTTTTAGCCCCTTTATCAAATATAAGATAGTTGTAGTTTTGTGGATTGGTTTCTGTGTCCTCTATTCTGTACCATTGGTCCACCCGCCTGTTTTGGAACCAGTACCATGCTGTTTTTGTTACTGTTGTTCTGTAGTATAGTTTCAGGTCTGGTATCGCTAGACCGCCTGATTCAACTTCCTGCTTAGCATTGTTTTTGCTATTCTGGGTCTTTTATTTTTCCATATGAATTTCATGATTGCTTTCTCTATTTCTACAAGAAATGCTGTTGGGATTTCGATTGGCATTGCATTAAACCTATAGAGAACTTTTGGTAATATCGCCATTTTGATGATGTTAGTTCTGCCTATCCATGAACAGGGTATATTTTTCCATCTTCTAAGATCTTCTTCTATTTCTCTCTTTAGGGTTCTGTAGTTTTCATTGTATAAGTCTTTCACCTCTTTTGTTAGGTTGATTCCCAAGTATTTTATTTTTTTTGAAGATATTTTGAATGGAGTGGTTGTCCTCATTTCCATTTCAGAGGATTTGTTGCTGATATACAGGAATGCCTTTGATTTATGCGTGTTGATTTTATATCCTGCCACTTTGCTGACTTCATTTATTAGCTCTAATAGTTTCTTTGTAGACCCTTTTGGGTCTGCTAGGTATAGAATCATGTCACCTGCAAATAGTGATAATTTAAGTTCTTCTTTTCCTATTTTTATGCCTTTAATTTCTTTCGTCTAATTGCTCTGGCCAGTGTTTTGAGAACTATGTTGAACAGAAGTGGTGAGAGAGGGCATCCCTGTCTTTTTCCAGATTTTAGAGAGAATGCCTTCAATTTTTCTCCATTCAGAATGATGCTAGCCTGAGGCTTGGCATAGATTGCTTTTACAATATTGAGGTATGTTCCTGTTATCCCTAGTTTTTCTAGAGTTTTGAACATAAAGGGATGCTGTACTTTGTCGAATGCTTTTTCCGCATCTATCGAGATGATCATATGGTTCTTATTTTTAAGTCTATTGATGTGGTGAATAACATTTATTGATTTCCATATATTGAACCAGCCTTGCATCCCAGGGATGAATCCTACTTGATCATGGTGCACAATTTTTTTGATATGTTTTGTATCCGATTTGCCAGAATTTTATTGAGGATTTTTGCATCTAGGTTCATTAGATATATTGGTCTGTAGTTTTATTTCTTTGAAGTGTCTTTGTCTGGTTTAGGAATCAGGGTGATGTTGGCCTCGTAGAATGAATTTGGAAGTTCTCCCTCTTTCTCTATTTCCTGGAATAGCTTGAAAAGTATTGGTATTAGTTCTTCTTTAAAGGTTTTGTAAAACTCTGCTCTATACCCATCCAGTCCTGGGCTTTTCTTAGTTGGTAGTCTTTTGATGGTTTCTTCTATTTCCTCAATTAATATTGGTCTGTTTAGGTTGTCTATATCCTCCTGACTCAATCTGAGCAGATCATATGACTTAAGAAATTTATCGATACCTTCACTATCTTCTATTTTATTGGAGTATAAGGACTCAAAATAATTTCTGATTATCTTCTGTATTTCTGAAGTGTCTGTTGTGATATTGCCTTTTTCATCCCGTATACTAGTAATTTGAGTTCTCTCTCTTCTTCTCTTCGTTAGCATGGCTAAGGGTCTGTCGATTTTATTTATTTTTTCAAAGAACCAACTTTTAGTTTTGTCAATTTTTTCAATTGTTTCTTTTGTTTTGATTTCATTAATTTCAGCTCTGATTTTAATTATTTCTTGCCTTCTACTTCTTTTGCTGTTGTTTTGCTCTTCTTTTTCTAGGATTTTGAGATGAAGTATGAGATCATTCATTTGTTGGTTTTTTTCTTTTTTTAAGGAATGAACTCCAAGCAATTAACTTTCCTTTTAGAACTGCTTTCAATATGTCCCATAGATTCCGATATGTTGTGGCTGTGTTTTCATTTATCTCTAAGAATTTTTTAATTTCCTCCTTGATGTCTTCTATAACCCGTTGATCATTCAGTAACCTATTGTTCATTCTCCAAGTGATGTATGCTTTTTCCTTCCTTCTTTTATCATTGATTTTCAGTTTCATTCCATTATGATCAGATAAGATGCATGGTATTATCTCTACTCCTTTATATTGTCTAAGAGTTGCTCTGTGACATACTATATGATCTATTTTTGAGAAGGATCCATGTGCTGCTGAGAAAAAAGTGTAACTGCTTGATGTTGGGTGGTATATTCTATATATGTCAATTAAGTCTAGGTTATTAATTGTGTTATTGAGTTCTATAGTTTCCTTATTCAACTTTTGTTTGGAAGATCTGTCCAGTGGCGAGAGAGGTGTGTTGAAGTCTCCCATGATTATTGTATGGTGGTCTATTAGACTCTTGAACTCGAGAAGAGTTTGTTTGATGAACATAGCTGCACCATTGATTAGGGCATATATATTTATGATTGTTATGTCTTGTTGGTGTATGGTTCCCTTGAGCAGTATGTAGTGTCCCTCTTTATCCCTTTTGATTAACTTGGGCTTGAAATCTGTTTTATTTGATATGAGTATGGACACTCCTGCTTGTTTCTGAAGTCCATATGAGTGATATGATTTTTCCCAACCTTTCACCTTCAGTCTATGTATGTCTTTTCCTATCAAATGCATCTCCTGTAGGCAGCATATTGTTGGGTCTTGTTTTGTGATCCATTCTACTAGCCTGTGTCTCTTAATTGGTGAGTTTAAGCCATTAACATTCAGGGTTATTATTGAGACATGGGTTGTTCTTCCAGTCATATTTGTTTATTGATGTTACTAAACATGGTTTGTTTTCCTCTTTGATTATTTTCCCCCCTTTACTGTCCTACCTCCCACTGTTGGTTTTCATTGTTAGTTTCCATTTCCTCTTCCTGTAATGTTTTGCCAAGGATGTTTTGAAGAGATGGTTTTCTAGCTGCAAATTCTTTTAATTTTTGTTTATCGTGGAAGGTTTTAATTTCATCTTCCATCCTGAAGCTTAATTTTGCTGGATACACAATTCTTGGTTGGAACCCATTTTCTTTCAGTGTTTGAAATATGTTATTCCAGGATCTTCTAGCTTTCAGAGTCTGTGTTGAAAGATCAGCTGTTATCCTGATTGGTTTACCCCTAAATGTAATCTGCTTCCTTTCTCTTGTAGCTTTTAAAATTCTCTCCTTATTCTGTATGTTGGGCATCTTCATTATAATGTGTCTAGGTGTGGATCTCTTATGATTTTGCACATTCGGCGTCCTATAGGCTTCTAGGATTTGGGATTTTGTCTCATTCTTCAAGTCTGGGAAGTTTTCTCGTATTATTTCATTGAATAGATTGCTCATTACTTTGGTTTGGACCTCTATACCCTCCTGTATCCCAATGACTCTTAAGTTTGGTCTCTTAATGTTATCCCATATTTCTTGGATGTTCTGCTCATGGTTTCTTAACAGTCTTGCTGAGCTGTCTATGTTCTTTTCCAGTTGAAATACTTTGTCTTCATTGTCTGATGTTCTATCTTCTAAGTGTTCTACTCTGCTGGTAGTATTCTCAATTGAGTTTTTAAGTTGGTTTATTGCTTCCTGCATTTCTAGGATTTCTGTTTGTTTTTTATTACCTCTATCTCCTTGTATAGTTGATCTTTTGCTTCTTGGATTTGTTTATGTAATTCATTGTTGAAGTGATCTTTCATTGTCTGATTTTGCTGTCTAATGTCTTCCTTGATACTCCAGATCATCTGAAGCATGTATATCCTGAATTCTTTATCTGACATTCCATCTGCTGCAGATATTACCTCTTCTAACGTTGAGTTGACCTGCATTGCTTGTGGTCATTTCTTTCCTTGTCTTTTCATACTGTTCGCGTTTCTTTCTGTTTGGTGAAACTGTTGTGTTATTGAATTTTCCCCCTATATATTTGTATTGCTCTCGTATAGTTGCAAAGTCTCCCTCGCAGGCGCGGGCAGTGGCTCTGCCCCTCCTCCAATTGGGGCAATGTGCCTACCATGCCGGCGGGCCCCTGGGCCTGTTCTGCCGGTCGGTAGCAGGTCCGCCTACCTTGCAGGCGCGGGCGGCGGTTCTGCCCCTCCGCGGTCCGCTGGGCCTGTTCTGTCTGTCGGTTGCAGGTCTGTCTGACTTGCAGTCGCGGGTGGCGGCTCTGCCCCTCCCCCTAACAGGGTGATGTGTCTGCCACGCTGGCAGGCCGCTGGGCCTATTCTGTCTGTGGTCGCAGGTCCACCTACCTTGCAGGCGCAGGGTTAGGCTCTGCCCCTCTGCAGGCCGCTGGACCTGTTCTGCCGGTGGGTTGCAGGTCCGCCTACATTGCAGGCGCGTGGGGCGGCTGTGCCCCTCGGCGGGTTGCTGGGCCTGTTCTGCCGGTGGGTTGCAGGTTCGCCTACCTTGCAGGTGCCTGGTTTGTTAATATTGTTTTTTGTTGCTGGGAATAGAACCTATGGCCTCATGCATGCTAGATAAGTGTTCTACCACTGAACTAGACCCTCAGCCCAAACTTAACCTGAAGACCTTGAACCCCTGTAGAATATAAACAGCATTTGTATCTCTGCATTTTTCTAAAGATGGTTGACAGCCTTCATAAAATTTTCAAAGGGGGCCCATTACTCTTTGTAGATCTACAGTTTCAGAATTAAAGAATCACCTTTCCTTTGGCCACCTTACTTTCAGAAATTTTTCCATAACACTGCCGAGAGAGAGAGAGAGAGAGAGAGAGAGAGAGAGAGAGAGAGAGAGAAAATCTGTAGGAAGGAAGGAAGGAAGGAGAGGGGAGGGGAGGGAAGAGGAGGGGAGAGGGGAGGGGTGAGATCTGTATTTTCTGGATATCCCTAGATCAGTGTAGTATTAAGTCCCTGAATCATTTTTTATGTAAGTCTTCCAAGTTCGGAACAAATACTACATTGACTATTACCTTTTTGTTCTTATACTTTTATCAATCTTTAACACTTTAATTACATTCTTACCATACATAATAATTTCTCCTCTTCCCTGAAGTTTTTTTATCTATTGTCTAAGAAAACATGAGCTGTTTCGATCTAGTCCTTATTCCAGACCATTACTTTTTTTCTTGAATCAGTACTTGTTTCTATAATTTCATATTTTTTAAGTGAATGATCTGTATATCATTCTTTGTTATACTAGAACTGTGTCACAGGGGTTCATTTTTCAGACTAGCTGCTCTTGTTTATGGCTTTCTTCTAGAAATAGTCTTGCTTACTAAACAGTATTGGTTTTCTTGGCAGAATCTGTTCATGATGAATTCTTTTCAGAGTAAAAAATGGTATTATCTATGTAGAACAATGTTTTTAAAGTGAAAACTACTATACCATTCCAATAAATTCCTAGTGTAATGAGGGGTTAGAACTTGACAAAGTGATTCTAAACTAAAAAATAAAACTCAGGAAAATAGTTCAGGAAATTTTGAAGATAGAGTTAGGTGGCTTTGTTCTGTCAGGTGTTATGAAAAACTACAATCATTTAACCAGTGTAAAAAAAGAGTGGCCAAAGTAACAGAAACAAATATTTGGTACTTCACCTATTGGTTTGTGAATCAGTACAACCTTCAATGAAAGGATACTAGGTCATTCTTATGAGAAAGTTTTAAAATATGTTTTTCTTTTGGTCTATGATTTCAACTTTTAAGATAAGAGGATTTTGTGTATTTGTGATATAATTTTAGCAATACGGGTGGTCACTATGGCATTTAAAATTTTTGACAACAAAATATTAGAAATAACCTACATGTTCAGCAAAGGATTAAATAATTAAAGTGTAATACGATGTTATAATTAAAACTGTTATAGAACTGCACAGTTTTTGACAAATAGAAAGTTTAGACTAGATTGTTGAATGAGGCAAAATAGTTTATTAAGCTTTGTAATGTTGTTTTTTAAAAAAATGTGTACAGTCCATAGAAAAAAATTTAAAGTTATGTATTGTTTGTGACTTTTTAAATTGTTCTATATGTATTTATTAGATATATATTTACAAAAATCCAAGAAATATTTTAAATTTTTTTTAGTTGCCAATGGACCGTTATTTTATTTATTTATGTGTGGTGCTGAGAATCGCATCCAGTGCTCTACACAATGCTAGGCAAGCGCCCTACCATTGAGTTACTGAGCTACAACCCCAGCCCCCAAGAAAAATTTTTAAAGCAAGGCTCTATGAAATCTAGAATTCAAAAAAAATTATTCTTCTTTGTCTCTGAACTAGCAATTTCTCATTACAAAGCAATATTTAAAAGAGTAAATATGACCTTTTCATTTTTTAGTCACATTTGTAATTTCTGTAAAAGAAGGCAGATTTCTAAATGGAGGAGTACTGGGAAATATAAGAGAGAAAGACTGCTAAAAATGAAAATATTTTTTAAAATCTGATGCCCATTAATGCTAAAGAGCTGTAGTGTAGCTAGTAAGTGAAGACACCTGCCATATGTCTGTTTTCCTGCACAACATGGTAATTTACAATTACAATTAATGTGTTTATATACCTCTGTACAGTTAACCCATATTTAGAATGTAATATAAACCCAAATCATTTTCATGTTTCTGTTTATTTTCCAGTTTTAAAAAGCATTTGAACATATCAAAATCCAGATTTTAACACAGTAGAGTCTTCCTAGCTTGTCATTTTTGGAGAAACCAAATGAATATAAAAGAGATCTATGGATTTCTCAGTTGGAAGGCAAGGTCAGTCCCTGAGAGTACATCCCCGGCCAGCTGAAAGATGAACTGTCATGAAGTGAATCCAACCTCAATACCCAATAAAATCCTTAAAATAAAGCCTTAACATTAACGTGTCTACAGCAGTGAAGAGAAACATGACAGGAAGCTTTGGGAGAGACTCCGTGGTTTGCCATCATAAGTCTATTGGGTGGTCACTCTGCCTCCTCACTTTTAGCTAAGAACCTTACAAAAGCAGAATTAACTACTTTGTCCTTAGCTTGGACTTCTTACGATTTCTTTCTACAGTTTCCAAAAAAATAACAAAATACAAACTAGTTTCACTTATTGCTATTGACTCTTCTACTGACTTCCTGCCAAAGACTGGTTGAAAAAGGAATATTTGGGACCTTCTGAGGAAATTACTACATTTCAGATTTGGTATTCCTCTCTGAAACTATATTGCCTATATGTCATTTCTTCTTCAAAAGATCAAAAAATTGATTAACAATTAGTCCTCTTTTATTTTCTAGGATGTGTGGTGTAGATCCTCTTCTAGGACTGTGGCCAGGGAAATATATACGATGCATTAAGTTGATTTTATTATTTTAGAATGGATGATAATGCTCTTGGAACAGCTTTAAAATTTTGAATGTTATAAAGTACTGAGAAATCTTAACATAAACCTTTTTAATTGAAAGAGAATTTATTTTGTATACCACTGTTAATTTTGTAGGACTGCCAAAGTCCACAGGGATTGTATGATTTTTAACAATATAAGTATGTTTTCATACAGTTCTGAAGACTGGAAGTCTGAGATCAAAGTGTGGGCAGGGTTAGCTCCTGCTGAGGGCATTGAGGGAAGGATCCAGGCTCTTCTTCTGGACTTGTGGATGACCATCCTCGGCCTAGGTCTTCATATTACCTTCCTCTTGAAAGTCTGTGTCCACATTTCTTTTTTTCATCAGGACACTATTCATATTGAATCAAGGCCAACCCTAATGACCTCATTTTAATTTAATTAACTTCCTATAGATCCTGTCTCCAAATATAGTCAGATTCTGAGGTCCTAGGGATTAAGACTTCAACGTGTGAAATTTTGTGGTAAACCCCTTCAGCCCATAATACCAGCTTAATGAAAAATTTGACCAAAATAAAGTATTCGTTAATATATTCATTCAACAAATACTTAATTGAATATTCTATGTAACATGGAATGTCCTTGTTGCTAAGATGTAGAGGTGACCAAAAACAGGCTGACCCTGACCCTCTAGGAGCTTAAAGTCAGGTGAGGCCTCCAGACTTTGAATAAACATGCTTGTAATAAATATTCTGTGATAGGAATAAGGTAAGGTATTGGAGGTTTTCATTTCGACTTATATGCATATCCCTCCTGCTATATAAGTTTTACTTCTGATAACATTGATTAGAAACAAATATTCTAAACCTGAGGGTCCTGAAGGGAAAGTATGGTCTCATAGCAAGACATAGTTTGAAAGAGAAGCATTTATTTTAGGGCTCAAATCCCAGCGCTAATAATCTACTATCTCTGTTGCTTTGAATAAGTTACTTCTTTCAGCCTTGGTTTCTCATCTGTAAAATATATCTATCAATCTACAGGGTGAGAGTTGATATAAGGATAAGATTCAATAGTACAAAAAGAAAGCCCTACAAATTCTGTTTTACATAATAAGCACTCAATAATTTTTCTTCATTATGCTACCACCATGCCTTGTCTATGCTTTATTTATAGCTCATAAACCATTCTTTTACATCCGTAGGAGCTTTCATTTAGAAGGTGCTTAACAATTGGTAGCCAAAAGTGAGGAAATCATATAACTGAAAAAAGTAGACCATTAGTCTCAGTTGCCAGAAAACTTACCACTTGATATTAGGAAATGACTTTGGGAATTACAGTTATTGGAATATAATTGTAAAGTTTATTTCCTTAGCTGTCAGATGACAACGGTGTAACAGAATGAGTGAGAAGGTTTTGATTGAAGAAATGATTTGAAAACTTTTTGAAAAAACCTAGAATTTTATGATTGAAAGGAATGATCTCTGAGGCTGTTTCCAGCTTATAATAATTTTCTAAGTCCCCATGAATAAAAACAAAACAATGTACCACAGTTTGGATGTGGAGACTAAGAAGATAAAGAATATAGGTATGGACAGGGAAGGGTAACACTGATTCCCATACTATGGTTCCCACATAACCTTTTCTTTCATATCTCCTGCTTCTTTGTTTTCTCTCCCAAATACAAGCTCAATCCTGCCATTGTATGTACCATTTCTTCACTGAATGTTGCTATAATTTAGATCTTGAATAGTCCCCTCAAGGCCCATGTGTTAAAGTCTTGGTACCCAGGTTGGTCTATTAGGAGGTGGTGGAGCCTTTAGGAGGAGGGGCCTAGTAGGAGGTCTTCAGGTTACTGGGGGCATGCCCCAGCCCCTTCCTCTTCTTTTCACATCCTTGCCATGAGGTGAGCAGCTCTGATCTGCATTGTTCTTCCCATCAAGATATACTGCCTTGTTGGGCTGCGGATGTAGCTCAGTTGGTAGAGTGCTTGCTTCTCATGCACAAGGCCCTGGGTTCAATCCCCAGCACCACAAGACAACCAAACAAAGATATACTGCCTCACCACAGGCCCAAAAGCAATGGGGTCACCTGAAAATTGACTGAAACCTCTAAAACTGTCAGCCAAAATTAACCTTTTCTCTTTGAAAATCAATTGTCTCAGGTATCTGTTACAGTAACAGAAAACTTACTAGCATAGGTCACCCTCTCTAACTTTTCTAAAGTTTGCTATATCAGTTTCCTAGGGCCAGTGAACAATGTACCTCTAACTAGGTAGCTTATACAATAGAAATCTATTGTCTTATTGTGAGACTAGAAGTCCAAGATCCAGTAGTGGTCAGGTGCTGAGAGCCATAGCCAAGTAGGAATGACGCATGGCAATTTCCTTGTCAGCCTACCCAATGTTGCTTAGAGGGAGGACTCTCCATTGTGGAAATGGGCTTGCCTTGGACCCAGGTCATTTGCAGTGACATTGCATGAATGTTTGAGAAAGGTGACCCTGCTCAA